TTCCTGACAATGCAATTGCAGGCATTCGCCACCATGCCTGGAGTTGGTCACCTGCTCAGCATGCCCTAGGGGCAGGGCCAGAGCAGTATGCAGGACCAGGGATCACAGGTCTTTTTCTTTTTCTTTCCTTTTTTTTTTTTTTTTTTTATGCGGTACCAGGGATCAAACTCAGGACCTTGTACTTTCAGGCAGGTGCTTACACCACCGAGCTATCTCCCCAGCTCAGCTTATTTTCAAATAGGGGCTTTTTAGGTTTCTGAGAGTGTCAGGGTGGGAATGAATTTATGACTCTCTTGCCTCAGCCTCCCAGAGAATTGGGATTCTAAACATGTATCATCATGCTCAACTGGATAACAGGCATGTATCACCACGCTCAGATTTTATCTCTTATTCCTAATTTTATTTTCTAAAAGACAGTTTTAAGTTGACATTTATTTTCTTTCATCATTTTACAATTACTGTTCTTCCAACGTCCTCTATCTTCCAATGTTGACTATAATTAATTAATCGCCAGTAGAACTGCCATTCCTATATAGGTAATGAGGCTTTGTCATTCCAGTTCCTTTTAGAACTTTCTATTTGACCTAGACAATCTGTAATTAAAGTGTGATTTGTTTACATACATTCTTGATTGTGTTTATGCTAGTTGGATCTTATTAGAATTATCAAGTCTTCAAATTTATACTTTACTATTTAAATATTGTTTCCTTGTAATCCATCTACAATTTTTATCTTTAAAGTCTAATATTTGAAATAGCTATGTTGCATATTTTTAAACTGCTTTATATTTTGAACTGATTTTGGGGGGTGATAAAGTTTGTTAATTTTCTCATATCAAATTTCACATCTAAATCCTAACTTCACTTTTCACTTAAGACTTATTTTTTGTTTAGCCTGCTTTGTAAATTTTGTGACAATTATTATAATTATGAATTCTATAATGCTTCATTTTAATATGCATGTGTGATCTAGACATACTTCTGTTAGTCTTTTAATTTTTTGGCTTGCTCATCCTGCCTTTGGGCAAGTCTGGTAAGGCACATGGTGCTGGGGATGGAACCTCGGTCCCCTGTTCCTGACTGGGTTTGCCCAAGCAGGCGCTTAAACAACTGAACTAAACTGCAAGCCCTCTTCCCATGACAGTGTTTTTAAAACTACTTGACATGTCTACCTTTATTTTTTTATTTTTTCAATACAGAGTCTTGTTACACAGTTCAGACTTACAGTGATCCTCCTGTCTTGGCCTCCAAAGCATTGGGATTACAGGCATACACCACCATGCCTGGTTTTGTTGGCTGTCACAGTGTGCCCAGGTTCTGGGGCCAGCACAGCATACAATACCCAGGATGAAGCCCTGGACAAGATAGATTCTTACACAGCTGAGCTAACTTCCTAGTCTAATAACTTTATTTTTAAAAGCATATATATTTCTAGTTTTAGCCTAATAATTTGAATGTCTGTGTTCTTTCCAGATTTAAATTTTTTTTTCTCATTTACAATGAATTATTTCCATGCATACTGTCTAATTCTTCTGATTGTTAACTCATATTTCATGAAATGTTATCTGGAGTCATCATTTGAGAACTCAAACAACACACGTTCTGGAAGGATCAGGGGCTAGTTTCATCCCAATATCCAAGATTGCCAAGCCATGAATTCACAAACAATTTTCTATACCTATGACTTCACGTGCCACATAGCAAAAACATTTCCCCCAATTAAGGGTTCATTTGTGCTTACAAAATATTAGAGGTAACATTTTCTCCTTTACCTAGAGTGAGAACAAGATAGGCAAGAATTCCTACTACTTTTGTTTCCAACGAGGCCCCATATTTTGAGTCTAACATTGTTACACCCTAAAGATAAATGAGGTGTGTGTGTGTGTGTGTGTGTGTGTATCTGTCTGTGTGCACACGTGTGTGTATGTGTGTGTGTGTGTGCGTGCCCTGTGAGTGTATGTCTTATATGCAGCTTCCGCCTACAATAATCAGTAGTTGCCTCAAGGTAACAACTGACAGAGCTTATGCAGTTTTCTTTATGAACTCAATTTTCTTTTCTTTTTTTTTTCTTTTCAAAGTTTTATTGATAAACATATAGCAATGAGACAGTTTCAAGTCTCTCAGGCTTTCACAGAGAGCACATTGGCCAAGCAATGGCCATGACTGATCCACATGGCTGACACTGACAAAGGTTCTACAATCTGAGGTACAGGATCTCAGGATAAATCCTGAGGGCATTTCACTGACCTTCTCAGACCAAAAAGCTACAACTCTTGTTGCACAGGTCCTGCTTTACCTTGGTCTTAACCATCCAGTAGAAAAGTATGAAGACGAAATGTAGGAAGTAAAGCCATGTTGTTATGTTGAGCTGTGGGGGACTCAGGTCAATAATTTCTGACATTGCCAGTTAAACAGAAGACCCAATGCTATTATGGGCTACTGGACTCTTTTAGAATATTTTGCTGAGTTTACACACCTATAATATTCAACAACGGAACTTAAAAAAATTGGGATATAACTATGAATGTCCATTTTGTATCTGTGTATTCAAAGTGGTTGGGATAGATATATAGTTGCATTCTCTTAATGAACTCAATTTTCTCTTTAATTTTGGCAAACATTTCCTTACCAGGTTGCAATACAGTTATTCTTCAAAATTTGCTTTTAGGATTTGATACAGTATTTTCCTATGCTGTATAGTGTAGGGTTTTTAGAGCTGTAAATTTACCATGTTGGAAAGAAGAGTTGCATTACAACTTAAGCCATACAAGATGGATAACCAAGTTAAGCGTATGACAATTTTAAATACCCATATGAAAAAGATTTCATGTTCTGGATGATTCTTAGATAAATCTTTAGAGGTGCAGAGTTGGTTATTTTGCTTAGAATACATCCTGCCAATTATCACAAAGTATGAAAGGCAGCCAGACACTCAACTATGAAAGTACATTTTTCAAAGAACCTCACACTGAAGATGAAGTTAAGACCATGATGATGCTACATACACCAAATAGTCGATGGATAAATATTTATGCGTATGCATAGACATATACAAACATACATACATACTTAATTGTAAGTAACTCTTAACTATGTTTTATGTATAGTATACTGTATACATATATTCACATAACACATACATATGAAACTATACTTAAGAATTCTGCCCTTTAAAGTATTCACAGTGGAATTTCATCCCTGGTTGAAACTTGAATAACTGTGGAATACTTTGATATCTGTGAGTGACATATAAGTCATTATTTTTCTCCAAGACTTTTTCTTCAGGATGTGCATTAGTAAGAATTTGTTCATGGTCCCAAGTCTCAGTTTGATGAGGAATGTTTGTTTGACTACTACTCCCTGCTATGCTGGTATCCTTGCAATTATCCAGCATTGGCAAGAGAAGACTCCTCTAATGATTCGAGCTCAAACAATGTACCTGTTGCTACTGACAGACTTTGTTCCTTAGAGAAGATATGAACTGCCAGCTGGCTGTGACAGTTTGTGAACTAACACTGACATTTGTGTTGGCACGGTAACAGTATTTACAGCTCAGGAAATATATACAGTCAGAGTATGAAAGTCCAAAGAATTTGCAAGGAAAAAGAATAACAATATAAATGATAAGCATGACCATAATAATAAAATACTTTTAAGAGTAACTTCAGAGCTTAGGATCTCTTTGAGGAAACATCTGCTCTATGTGAAACATATGGCACATGCTTTCAAAAGGAAACTGTTTACCCAGAACAGAAGCTGAAAACTCAGTTATATAACTGCCCATCCATATTATATATTCTAACAGCCTACTGGGTCAGAAAACTGCATGAAAAAAGAGCAAGAGATAAAGCAAAATAAAAAATAAAAAAGGTTTTGAATGATAGGAAATATGAACACAAAATACCATAGCATCAGGAAAAAAGATTAAGGTTATACATTTGTCTTTTTTTTTTTTTTTTTTTCATAGACTCTTACTTGGCTTTCCCTAGGATGCCTGAAATATACATTTGGTGTATGTTCCTGTTTACTGGCATACAGATCCAAAAGTCTTTAGAATCTTCAAAATGATAAATATATTTTCTGTGCTAATGTGTTGCATGGTAGCTAGTAGCCCCAAGGTATCTTAAAGACTGGCTAGTAACCAGAAAGACCAGGAAAGAATTATAAGGCTGGGATTTTTTAACCCTAACCCATCCTTCAAGGAAGGGGTAGAATTAGGTTGATGACTAGTGGCCAATGATATAATCAATAATGCCTGTGAAATGATGCCTCCAAAAAATCCCAAAGGGACAAGGTTCAGAGAATAGAGATTCTGGCTAGCTGAAGACTGACATGCCTATGATAGGGAAGTTCCACCCTCAGTCTCCAGTCACTTGCCCTAGGTATCCCTTCACCTCTTCATCAAATCCTTTGTGATGTTCTTGATAATGAACTGGTGAGTGGTAAATAAAAGTTTTCCTCAGCCTGGTGAAATGCTCTAGCAAGTCATTGTGATCTAGGGTGAGCAGGATTTAGGAGAAACCTGTTTATAGATCAGAACCACAGGTAACACAATTTGAGAGTCTGGCGTGAAAAGAGTAGGCTGTGGAGGGACTGAGCACTCCATCTGTGGGATCTGCCACTGTCTCTAGGTAGAGAGTTTCAGAACACAATTGGAAGTCACCCAGCGCTCAGGAATTAAATGCTTGCTGATGGGGGCAATCCTTACACATTTTGATGTCACAGTAATCTGTACAATTTTGTGAGAGTGGAATAAAGAAAAGGATTTGGTGTTTTATACAACACCAAAAAGGGTGAATTCATTAGAAAAGTTACTGGGAAGGCATACAGAAGAACTTCTCGCGAATATTATTAACATTTTTGGATATTACATTACCTCTAGAGAGTATTATTAGATGAAAGAAAAATCAGTTGTCATTTTTTTTCTCCGCTCTAACATTTTACTACACATTCCAGATGTCTTCATTTTTTAAAAATGAATTAATTTGACAAGGTACTCACTGCTATGGTCCCAGGACATCCTGGAGATTGGCATTCACCACTCATACGATTTGGAAACAAGACATCTTCCCAGCAAGAGGGACCCTTTGGAGAAAAAAAAAAAAAAAACATAACAATATACACTTGGTACACAAATTGTAATACAAATTTACTTCTTAACGAATATTTCGAGACCTTTCCATTTGTATTAGATGGTAATGAAATAAATGTGCAGTTCAGTGATTTCAAGACGCTGTCCAAAGACCCCAAAGGCTATCTGCTGATGCTTCTTGGGGACCTGCTAAGTAAAAAATGTCATCATAAATATACAACACTTTGTTTGGCATTTGGTTTCAAACATGTTCATTATCCATTCCTATACTTCCTCAAGAGTCCTGTTTAAATGCTACTGTACAGAAAGACCATCCCTAAACTCGGCCAATGCTCTCCTTCAGGTCTGCCATCTTGCCTTTGTGTCACAGTAGTTATGACAACTAGATAAGTGGAAAGACAGCTGTTGTCTGTGCTCACATTGAATGTACCTCTGCAAAGGCAGATTTGATCTGTTCTATGCAGTATCGCATCTTAACACCTAGTGAGGAGCCTGGCTCATAGAATATGTTCAACAACCTCCCCTGGTAATCTAAGAAATAAAAACATAAAGAGCAACCATTTTCAATTAACATTTAAAGTGAGATATTAATGTCAATGCATTACATTTTTAAAACAAACATTATATATATCTACATATCTATCTATCTATCTATATCTATCTATCTATCTATCTATCTATCTATCTATCTATATATATATATATATGCTCTTAAACGGGCTCATAAATTTTTGTCTAAATTTTAAGAAATCTGTACTAGCTGTCTTACAGTTCTGTCTTACTTATCTTTCTCATTCCTGAGACAAAATAGCTGACACCCAGAGTTAAAGGAAGAAAGGTTTATTTGGCTCATAGTTTGCAGAGGTTTCAGTCCACAGTCACCTGCTCCAAGGCACAGTGGCATAGCAAAGAGGCGGCAAAAAGGAGAACTAGTGCATAGCAACAGGCAAGCGAGAGCAGGGAGCAGCAACCTCTGTGACTTCATTGGCTTCTTTCTGCCTCTTCTATATTATATCTAGGCTCCTGGGTTGAGGGGAGTGCCTATCCAATCAGTGGACTGATTTACGAATGATACACTCTTAATCCCAGCATCACACACTTTTGATGCAGCCACGTGTGAAAAAGCCCCACCTGTCAGTGCAAGAAGCTTTTGGGGCAGTGATAGTCATAAACCATAATACTGGCTAAAAATACTAAGAGGCTTAGGTATTTTCTTTACAGATACTTTGAACATGGTGGTAAGGAACTGGATCAGCAAATAAGCATCCACAACTAAATCAAGTACTATGCAGCCACCATAATTTATAGTTCTTACTCACTAACACTATACTTGTTGAAAAGAATACAAAATTAAATTAAAAGGACAACTACGTATTTAAGAGATTATGAAGTGAAGAAAAGATATAATTTGCATCTTTTGGGGTAGTAGTCTCACTAATGATAAGTGCTTAAAACTAATTAAGTGGATTTCTTAAATTTATTACAGTCATAGCTGATAACTGTTAAATGAAAATACACATGGGGATTACCACTCATAACCCTCCTGAGGACAGTGTGAAGTATGCATAGACATCCCTGGGGACCTAGTGGCTGCTCATCTGGTGACAAAGAAACCTCCTATGTCTCCCAAGGAACTATGAGAATTACACTTTAAAAACTAGCAATTTTAGTTAGATGCAGTAGTGCACATGCTTGTAATCACTGTGCTTAGTGAGGCCAAAGCATGAAGATCCTAAGTTTAAACCCATACTGGACAGCTCACTGGTTTAAAAATTTATCAATCTCAAGATGGCAAAACAAAACAAAAAACAAACAAACAAACAAACAAAAAAGATGGAAAAACAAAAACAAGACTGAAGCTTAGTACAAAGGTTCTTGGTTGAATTCCCATTTATTCAACGAAACCAGCAATGGGCAAAACCGTAGCACCAATGAAAATGGAAGGGATTAGAGGTTGAAATTTTCATGCTTTTCTGGAAATGTGCAATAGGCTATAGCAGAGGACCAGCCTCTGGTCCTGCAAAAACCACATGAGATGGCTCAGTAGAATGAGTGCTTGCCTGGCAAGTGTAGGGTCCTGAGTTCAATACCCTGTATCACACACAAAAAAAGTCAAAATAGAACTTTAAAATTGGGTACAACTAATTTTATTGCATATTGCTGTTAAATTCAACCATTGTTAAATTCCAATCATTTTGTGTAGTGAAATTTTATGTAATTTCAATGTTTTTATTATTATTTCATCCTCTTTAAAAATAAAAAACATAAAATGGTAGCAATCCTTCAAATTCAGAGAAGAATGTATGTAATCTAAATGTCAGTTAAATAGAATGGTAAAAAGTTCTTTGGAAGGGCCAGGGAGAAGGCTCAGTAGAATAAGTGCATGCCTGCTAAGCACAAGAACCTGAATTCAATCCCCGGTTCCAAAAAAAAAAAAAAAAAAAAAAAGTAAAAAAAAAAAAAAAAAAAAAAGGAAGAAAAAGTCCTTTGAAAATGCACAGTAATTTGGGAAAGGGGCTCAGAATCCATGAGAATGTCAGCTTAGGACAGCCAAAGCCTCACAGTTTGCAACTCTAGAAGAGATCAAGGAAGGGCCGAGTGAAGAGATGAGCAGGTGTCTTTGCAGTTTTGATAGGAAAGATAGAGGAGAGAAGATAGGGAGAGTATTAGGCAGAGGTAGAATGAGGGCAGTGATTGGTGTGTGCTGTAAAAAGGAACAGTGGTTGTGACACTATGACTATGACGCATTTTGTCCAACGCAATGGTTCATGATGCAGGAGCTGAATCAGACATTGGGAGCTAGCACAAGGACCAACCCTGCTTCAGGAATCAGTCCAGAACAGCCTAGCCACCTAGCACAAGAGGCTAGTGGAAATTCTGAGGAAGGCATTCAAGAAGCCATGTCTACTTCTTCAGGTCTGAATGCATGAACTTTATCACTTTCACCAGTACACATACTTTACATACATACATACACACATACACTAGAAGAAAGCAAGCAGAGTAAATGTGGAAGGCTGAGTTCCACTTGATAGAAACTAAGCCATGGTATATACAGAAACAATTTAACTCAGACCTCAAAGGAAGCAGGCTTCTGAATTCACAGATCATTATCCCAAAAGCCACTGGTACAGCAAGCCTAAAGCCGCTGTTGTTAGAAAGAACTGCTTTCAAGGTTGGCAATGAGCTGGTATTTGAGAAGTTGGATTTCAGAAGTGTCCTCACCACTTCCTTATGCATGTGGGTGGTTTGCAGAGCCTTAAGTTGTTTGGACAAACTACATGATTCGTGTCTAACACTTTCATCACTGGGAATCTGCAATTTTAATAAGCACTGAGAAGAGATGCCTACACAAACAGCCCCTCCTAAGGCCCTGGGCTCTGTTGGGGTTGCTAGCTGTTGTAGGAGGAATAAGTGCCTCTGTGAAATCCCTGGAGAGAGTCCTTTGGCTCCCTCTGGCCATATCTTTGTGTACCTATGCAGATATTGTACTGTATTTCAGCTATGTGTATGACTACATATCCAGCCCTGTTAATTTTTCTTGTAACTCTCCAACTCTAGAGATGTGCATCAGTCTTGGAAGCCCACGATACAATGACACACAATTAATCAGCAAGGGAATGTTCTCCTAGACTCAGAGTAGGGTCAGGGCTTATTAAGACAACATCAGTCCAATCACAAAGGAGAAAAAGTTCCATTTTCTTTGTGAATCCCACTGTAGTCATTTTCAGCCTGTCACACTAGTAAATAGTTGTAATGATAGTTGTGGAATTAAGAGAATGTTACTCTGCTTGGACAATGTAAAAGAAAATTAAGTACTAGGAATGGGGAGGCAGTTGGGTGTGGTAGCCCACACCCATAGACAAAGCAATAGGGAAGGTTGAGCTTGGAGGATTAAAAGCTAGGGAGGAGGGCTAGCGAGGAGGGTTGGCCAAATACCTCAGTGGATTAAAGTGCCTGCTGAGACAAGCACAGGGACCTGGGTTTGAACCCCAGCAGGGTGCACTGAGACAGGGATTCAGACTAGGCTTGGTGGCACACACCTAATAATCCCAGCACTTGGAAGGCTGAAAATAGGAGGATCACTCTGAGTGCAATCTGTGTAGTGAAACCCCGAAGATCCAAATACAATTAAAAAAATAAAAGTGAAGGAGGAAATGAGGGAGAGAGTGAGAATGAAAGTGTGTGTGTGTGTGTGTGTGTGTGTGTGTGTGTGTGTGTGT